GATAGATGGATAGATAGATAGATAGATAGATGGATAGATAGATAGATATTTGTGTCCTTCTGTTCAATTCTATATATAGATAGAAAAATAAATAGATTAAAAATAAAATGATTCAATAAATAGATAAAAGTCAAACTAAAATAATAAAAAATCAGTAGAAAAATGTCCAGTACATGTGTGCTAATAGACACACATTCACTTTATAGGTCATATTACTGCACATGTCTTCATTGTTGTTGTGCTTCTCTTTCCTCTTTTGCACCATTAGAACCAGACACAGTGAACAGCAGCAGCAGTAATGATAGTTTGTTAGTAGAAGTAATGGTAGCATAGCTAGTAGGTTTAGATAAGTTAAAGTTAGTTGTTTTATTGTTCTTTTATCCTGTAAAGCGTCTTTGAGTTTCTGAGAAGCGCTATAGAAATAAAACGTTTTATTATTGTCATTAGGAAACTTTTGTTTCTAGTAATAATATCAGTAGCAGCAGCACTAGTAGTGGTGGGAGTTAAAGTACAGACGTTCAGCAGTATATATTTACTGCAGCACTTATAGTACTACCAGCATCAGCAGTAGGTAGTACACAGTGGAGGTACGCAGTAGTGGCAGCAGAACTGTAGCAGTAAAAGAGAAACTGGCAGCAGCTCCATGAGGAGCAGTGATGGAGATAAACCAGCAGCTCAGACGCTGTCGCAGTAACAGAAGTAACAGAAGTAAGAGTGGTGATGTGGAGCCACTGAGTTCCTCACCGACGTAGTTCTCCACATCGCTGATGTAGAAGGTGGGGGCGGGCATGGACAGGCCCAGACCGTCCTTCTTGTGGACCAGGATGGGCTCGTTGAAGCCGTTCTCCTCCAGATAGTCCAACGTCAGCTGGCCGCCGCCGAGCTTCACCACCACGTCCTCGGCGCTGAGAGGAGCCAGGAGCAGCGTGGGTAATGTCAGAAAAGAAACACGACCGGATTATTATGTCAGAGACTTGTGAAAGTATCTGGAGGCTGATATTGAAATGCTACCCCACAGTGCCCCCTAGTGGACATGTCAGAATGTGGACCAATGGAATCCTTAATGAGAAAAAGCCAATCGATAGGAGGGATCATTTCTTTAAACCATAAATTAATTCATTAGATGTCTTCCCGTTGTGCTGAGTGTGATCAGAGGACAGAGGGCTTTACTTTCACCTCTTTGTCTCATAACATCACCTCATCTGTGGCACACTGGCAGTGCTTCAGGTTGAGAGCTTTGTGCTGTTCTTAGCTCACATACGAGGCCTGTCCAGGAAGATATTTTCATCATTTGTAATATTTTCTGCAGTGTGGAACAAAACATCCACTTTATGAATTCACCTAAAATCCAAAGAAGCACATCTGTCCACATAAGCAACCCCCTAAATCACCTCAATATGAATTATTCAGCAGAAAAACAGTTGTTCAGCACTTTCAGCCGGTTTGCTGATCAATGTTGGTGTAACTAGAAGGTGCCGATGAGGACACTCCGACCTTCTTACCTGGGAAAGGTTCTGCTGCGAAGCTCCTTGATGAACACCTGACTGCCGTTCTGAACAGCTTTGATGTCCGTGCTTTGGCCCGTGTCATGTTTGCTCCAGTTCTTTTTCTTTTTCACTGAAGAGCAGACGAAGACAAACAAGAATAAAGAAACGAGAACTTCTTTTAGCTTTGTTGTCGTCTGACGTCGGCTATCAGACAGTTTGGAGGAGGTGGAATCATCACAGCTAACATTGGAGCTACTCACGTGTGGACTTGCCGTGGGTCTTCTCGCAGTTTGGACAGTGATAAATGTCGATATCTGGAGCATCGTCTTCATCCACCCCAACACAGCTGAAAGCAGAGCAGAAGCACTCGTCAGTGAGGTGAAGGTGACCCTACAGTTCTCTGACTTCCCTCCACTCAGACACACTTTGTTTGATTGGCTGCAGCGTGTGAAGGAGTTTCATAATTAGTCACGGTGACGTCGACGTCTGCGCCGACCTGCAGCCAGCGACTACATCCGCCATCAGTGGATCTGACGGTTATGCTCTTAAGTCACCGGTTGACCTTCTGACACTCAGCGGCAGTGGAAACACCACCGCTGCATCGTCACCGGCAGCGCACTAAAGCCTCGTGATTTAAATGATGTAATCCATTTAAGACACTGCAGCAACACGTCTCTGTGTGATCAGAGCGTCTGTATCCACGTTTGTTTGTTGTTCTGCTGCACTGTTGCTTTAGCTTCACATGAACGGCTGAAGGCTGACGGCTGCACATGAAGCCTCTGAGAAGGTCTGAAAAGTAAAGGTGCCCTTAAAGCTGCGTTCTCTGTCACAGCCAGCAGGGGGTTCAATCCAAGCATGAGTTCAACACCAACAACAAATGGAGGCGACGAGCTGATCACGCTGCGACTGGAAGGCACGAGCAGTAGAGGTCAGAGGAGGACACGAGGGAGGGAGGGAAGGAAGGAAGGAAGGAAGGAAGGAGGAAAGACGCAGTGAAGGAGCATAAGCTGTCTCCTTTCTATCATCATTAGATCAGAACGAGGAGACGGACGAGCTGAGCCGACGAGTCGGGACATCGTTCACCAGACGCCAGACTCTCAGGAGACTCGGTGGGGTTCGAGTCTCACCAGAGACCTTCTTACTCACTTCATCTTAGCTACTGTTTGGAGTTTCTGTGACGCAAACCACTGAAAAACAGCAAGCTGTCATCATGGAGAAGCTACAAAAATAAATGAATGATAAAATGATTCAACATTTTATTTTGGCTCCTTCTAAAAACAAACTCTACTGATATGTTTTTGTGCTGCAGTGATGTGGTTACAGGTCAACAGGTCAACAGGTCAACAGGTCAACAGGTCCGTTCATGCTTTGCTGTAAATTCTTCACATTTGAGAAGTTGATGCAAAAAATAACAAAGAATTCAGAGAAAAAAATGATCAGAAAATTCTAACATTTCTGAAATGGAAGTAAAAAAAATCTTCTTCTACTAATAAATAATTCTCTAAATGGATTTTTGTACTCTGGAGCAAAGTCAGTCTGCAGAGAGGAAAGAAATGTTCAAATCTCCACTCCGGCACGGATCAGCTGTAAGTTAACCTACAAACACACACACAACATATCTAGTGCTACACAACTACACACAGCTTCCTACTGGGGCTGCACGATTCTGGCCAAAATGATAATCACCATTATTTTGATAAATATTGAAATCACGATTATTTGTTGATTTTAACCAAAACAGATGTTTTTATTTATAACTGTTTTCACATCCATGTATTGAGCTACATTCCTGCTAACGTGCTGATATGTGCTTAAAGATAAAACCGGTCCTCTTTCTCTCCAAAACTCACTCCTTAAAAAATAAAGATAAAAGAATAATGAAAAGGCAACAAAACAGGGCGCTGCTTTCCTTTTCCATTCCATATATGTTCTGAACTAAACTATAAACTGGATGTGAATCAATCAGTCATCACTTCTAATAAACTGAATGAACCGCGCTGATGTCACCAGACAATCTCAACTCTGATTGGCCATCGCAGCAGATCGCAGAAGTTCAGATTCTTCAACTTGCTCTTCAAAAGAATCGCGTCATTCACGCAAATAACTCGTTCAATTCGCGTCAGTCGCATCACGCTAGTCGCACGAGTCACGCTGCAGGACGTTCACTCTTCACGTTGACTTTACATGTAAATCACCAGCACCAATGATTTTATGGCGTCTGGTGTGAACACAGCGTTACACATTTTAAATGTCGCTCAATCACACAAACCTGATCGGAGGAAGTCGATATCGTGATGATGATTAAAATGTGATTAACTGTGCAGCCCTGCTTTCTGCCTTTTTTTACTACTTATTGCTGTATTTTTACTTTCACTTATATCTGCTCTTGTTTTGTTGTACTTATTGGGTTTTTTCTTATAAAACAGGACCTGAGTACTAACATGTGAGCTGGCATGATGAATAAAGCTCCTTGAATCCTTGAATAAATGGGCTAAAAACATACAAAAAAAGGAATAAAAAGGATATTGTCCTTTTAAGTGATTGGTGGTGCTGGAAGGCAGCAGAAGGACGCAGGACATTATTTTGGAGTGCAGTTCAGTGCAGGACGAAGGGACGGAGGAGTGCAGGACTGCAGAATCCTGCTATCAGTCAGTGGACTATAAATACCCATCTACACCCCGTATAGGTAAAGCTCTGTGGTCTGCAGCTCGGCTGAATAAGTGCTGCTAAAGTCACACGGGGGGTTTCTGGTCATCTGTTCTACGATTGGAGGTAAAATCAGCAAAACATGTGGCACAGATGTAGCTCAGCTGCTCATCAGGAGGTGAAAAGATGTAAATATTTCAGCTGCTGTGATGGAAAGAAGCCGAACCAAGCTGACAGAATGTGATATAAACTGTAACCCATGTGTTGGGTCTGAATGATGCTCGTCCCTCCTCTTTCAGACTGCAGCTGGTGTCCTGCACAAGCGAATTCCTCCCATTTGGAGCCGCTGCTCTCAAACTCAATGAACTGGGAGTTCCCCACCATGTTTTCTTTTTCCCCTCCTGGGAACTCCACGATGCTGCCGCCTGCTTCCACCGAAGGCAAATATAGGAGTGGGTGTGTGGACATAGTGGAAATGCCTGTTCATGACGTCCTCCACTCTGCGGCTGGGAGGAGAACGCCTTAAATTCAAACCAAACGAGAAATGTGAAGACAGAGGCAGGTTTTTGTTGTAGGACCGAAGCAGAACTTTTCAGATGAGATGACTTCATCTGTTCCATCAGTAGATCTTGTGTCGTGTTTTCACCACAGCAGGTTCTCTTTGTGGAAACGGTTTCGTCTTTCAGCAGAGCAGAAACATCTTTCCTTTACTACACATGTGGTGCTGAGCACACATCACGGGATCCACAGAAACTTTTCAGACTTCATTTGAAGAGCACGGGATGTATTTGAACCACATCTGAGCTCTTTCATCACTTTATGGGCTGCAGCACAGCATCGTCCTTGAGCGGCTCTGAAGCCGCCGACGACCTTTTACCGTCCTGTGTGGGGCACAAGACTGATGACTACTGTACTACAGAGACTGATAGCACATCATAAAACAGTTTTCTGTTCTCCTGCCTTTTACTCGGGGTACACAGGAGTCACGGTTCGGTACCTCGGTGTGTAATCGTCCATAATTCTTGGTGACACTTCACTGTAGCGCTCTGTCAATAAGAGAGGACCGGAGCTGTTCACTCTCAAGTATGAAATAAGTCAAATCCAAATGATCCATCCAGACGAGTGCAACGTGATCTTTAACTTGAATTCATGGTGAAGTCATCAGTGCAGCTTCAGCTTTAGACTAAACAAAGCAACGCTGCCTTTGTGTCTCTTTCTACTTGAGGACACAAACATCTTATTTGAATTAACTTGAAAGTCCTTCAAACAGAACCACCAGTGGACAGTGAGCCGGCCAGCTGACCGGTACCGTGGGAGCAGAGGAGCTGCAGGTTCTGGCTGCAGATTAAAATGTGTGACATGAGTTAAAACATCACACAAGAGTCATGAGGAGTCACTACAGGAGGGACATGAACGATGTAAACAGACTTCTGCCACGAATCATTTTGGCTGCTGAAAAAGTTCTGAACAGTCTGGAGCAGCTAAAGGAGCTGTTTCACCAAAACATATGAAGGAACTACAAACTACACAACATGCATGTGGGCTGCAGGTGGATCAGTGGTTAGCATCATTGCCTCACAGCTAGAAGGTCACCGGTTCACGTCCCGGTGAGGACACCCGGGATCTTCCTGCGTGGAGTCTCCATGTTCTCCTTGTGCAGCGTGGGTTCTCTCCGGGTTCTCCGGCTTCCTCCCACAGTCCAGAAACATGCTGAGGTTAATTGGTGATTGTAAATTGTCCGTAGGTGTGAATGTGAGTGTGCTTGGTTGTCTGTCTCTAAGTGTAGCCCTGTGATAGACTGGTTACCTGTCCAGGTGAACCTGCCTTCACCCTGAGTCAGCTGGGATAGACTCCGCCCCCCATGGCCCTGGTGAGGATGAAGGTGTGCAGATGATGGATGTCCATCACTGTTACTGCTGAAGTTTCTGACAAAGGTTTACTGGCTGCTGCCGTTATTTTAATCAAAAAGTAAATCTGATAAATCTGGAATTAGTTCAAGTTCTAACAAATATCTGCATGTCCACCAGTTCCTGGGTGTGTTTTCCTGAATATGTTCAGGAAACCCATTTCTGCATCATCCACCTGTTTTAATGCGACTGTGTTCTCATCAGCTGCTAAAGAGAAGGACTGGACTGAAGTTCTGGTTTCTACGGTCTCATGGACGACACTTTGACCCAAAGTGTTGTACGGTGGAGGCCGACTGAAGGCAGGCGTCTGTGCTGGTGTTCAGTCATCTGATTGTTCTGTGATATACAGTCTGTCACACACTTCTTTACTTCGGGGTGTTTCCACTGCCGTCCACACATTAATGACTGTAATGAGTTGATTTGAGGGGACAGTAAACGTGCACCGACCAGCAAAGTGTTCAGTTTGTCCCACCAAAACATAGAATCAAATATTTATGTGACGTTCTGCACGTGGAAATAAATCTAATAACTGTCACCTGATCAGGTGACTAACTCTGATTGGACTGATCCAGGTGGTTTTGTGGGACAGCTGCACTGATAATAATAAAAAAAACACTTAAAAAAGAAAAATAAGCTGCTCTCATGACACAAAGCTTTGTGATGCCAGTTCAAGTGGTGGAGGGAAGTCGTGGTGTCGCCTCATGTGGGCAGATGTTTCCACAGACTGAAGAAACAACTCCAAGAACCCGTAAACTGACTTCTATCAGACAGACTTCTATTCCAGCTCGTGCTT